AAAAGGTTTATTTACAAGGGAAGGGGAAATGAGGAAATGTACAGCTCAGGGAGAAAAGTGGGAGACAAAGTTTTAAATGACTCCTACCTGATCCGCTGATCAGAGAGAGGGCCACGAGCCAGGGGCGATAGCGAGCCAGCCCAAGGCCCACATGTTTGGTTTTTATATCCAACCTGGCTGCCCAACTCCACCCTCAGGTCCCAGCCACCCTCCCTTTGTTGGTGACTGGATTTGTCTTTCCCAATGTCTTGATGGCTTTAGTCTGGAGTGGGGGGTGGGGTCCACAAAGCCTGTAAGGGATTAGCTCAGGACATCATTTCCCCCTAACAGGTCCACTCTGGGAAAGATTTCACTAGAGCTCCCATTTCAGCGGCATGTGGCGAGTTCCCCAGGCAAGTTTCTCCACGAGACAGACACATTAGTTATATTTAAAGAACAGGTTTATTAGGGGAAGGGAGAGAAGAATAAAGGACACTTGTATAGACACAAGCAGGAGAGCTGCCCTGAAAGGGACAGGTTTGTTAGAAGAGGCCTGCGTGGTTGCAGGTGGGTGGTATTGAGGAGAGCTGCCTCGCTGAGGGAGGTCAGTGAAGTCCTGGCATGGTACAGGTCACAGGCAGGCAGGAAGGCTGCTGCCCTGTGGAGGGAGAGAGTTGGTGAAAAGAAGCACCTGCATACTCACAGGGGGGCAGATGGACTTCTGCCCTGAGCCTTTGCAGAGACTGCACGGATATAGTCTTCTGTTTGGGAGGGGTCACTCCTTGTTAGCCTTCAGGTTAGTTGCTGATTTTGGATAACTATGTCGAATCTGAAAGGGGCAGGAGCCTCCGCAAATGGCTCAATCTCCATATTTTTACCTTTGGGGTCTGTTGGGCTCAATCTCCATATCTTTACTCTTGGGCCTGTCCTCTAGACACTCCCTACAGCATCTGATACCTGGTTGGATTTTATGCTTTGTAATCTGGGCATTGGCCCCTAAGGATATTGGTTTCCACAGCTGTGTCAATGGCCATGCTAATCTCTTCTACCCCCACCTCCTTGTGTGAGCTGCGTTTCTGGTCTTGTGGTCCTGTTACAGGGCAGGAAGAGGGGCAGCCCAAACCCCGCAAACCTACCTATTCTAAATGGGATCTGACATATACCGCATCAACACAAAACATACGTGATTTTAATGGGAAGGAACTTTAATACAATTAGGAAACAATACAGGAAAGGCAAAGAATATAGTTTCTAAATCAAACGCCCAAAGTTACCCGTCCCCTCGTGGGTAAAACTCCATCCAAATGGGATTGGCCCAGAGCAAGGCCCCAAAGCCTGCCCCAAGTCTAAAGCATCTTGGAGTGGGGACCCACAGAAAAGGGTCAGAAACAACCGGACAAGCCCGGAAGGAAAAGAGCAAAATCAAAATCAAGATAAAAGCCGCCATTGTCACTTCCCCACGGATCTCACCCACATCTGTGTCACCCAGTCCACGACCAAAAGGCAAGCGCAGTTTCTTCACATGTCTCTAGGCTCCATGTGCCTCCTCCAGGTCTCCTTCTGGCTCCCCATCCTGTTTCCTTCCTTCCTCAGTCTCCTCTGCAGCTTCTCTCCCTGCTGAGCTCCACCCTCCCTTGGGTGGGGCAGGAAAGCTGGAACCTCCCCCTTTCCTGGGGACCATCCTGTTATAGTACCTCCTTTTCAGTTTTTTTTTCAATTGCTGTCCTCCATCACTTTAATTCGGCTCGTGAAGTTCTGTGTGTCTTCCCACCAGTCATTGGGCTTATGATTCATCTGAATGCAACATGACCACATCTCGACTAACTATGTCTGCAAAAGCTTGATTGCCAAGTGAGGCCACATTCTGAGGTTTCAGGTAGACATGGATATTTGGGAGGATGCTATTCGATACAGTAGTCACCTCATTCTGAAAAAGGGTATTTGCGGACGTAGTTAAGGATCTTAAGACGAGATCATTCTGGATTATGAGGGTGGGCCCTACACCCAATGACAGATGTCTTTATAAGAGACACACAGAAGTGAAGGCAGAGCAGAAGACCAGGAGGCAATGTGCAGACAGGCACAGAGACTAGAGTGATGCAGCCACGGGAGAAAGTGGCGTGAAGACGAGGTGGCGGAGAGCCAAAATGGGGGACCCCCCCCACAAAGCCCACGTGTCTGGCTTTATACCAAACCTGGCTGCTTAACCCTACCCTCAGGTCCCAGCCACCTTCTCTTTGGTGGTGATGGGATTTGGAGTTGCCAGTGTCTTTTGGCTTTGGTCTGGGGTGGGGGTGGAGTCCACAAAGCCTGTATGGAATTAGCTTTAGGACAGCCTTTTCCCCCTAACACAAAGACAGATCCACCAAACCTGATTTTGGACTCTAGACTTCCAGCACTATGAGAGAATCAATTACTGTTATTTTAAGGTATCCAGTTTCAGGTATTCCAGTAACTACAGGAAACTAAAATAGGCCTTAACAGAATAGGATTCACAGTGCATTGTATTCTTCTTTAAGTTCTATTCAAAACAAAGAAACAAAAAACCGTGCCATGAATTAAGAGTCTGCTTTAAATAGATCAAAGAGTTCTTGGTAAACAAAAACTTGTGAGTAGCCATAAAAGGTAAACTGGCTCATTTTCGGTAAGCAGACTGTTTAATGTTTTTTTTTTTTAAGATTTATTTATTTATGCATACAAGAGCTGGGGTACAGGCCAGAGGTATGGGGAGTGAGAGGATCCACCAGAGACAGAGTGGGGAGCAGAACAGGCAGACTGACTGAAATACACTGCTGAGGGGAGCAGCGGGCAAGACCAGAGAGGTCTGCTTTGCCTTATGGTTTCTCCCTGGCCTGCTGCTTCAGGTTGCTTCACAGTGTAGTGCTTAACCCCTGGCGCCACCAGGGAGGCCCGAATGTTCTTTTAATACAACACATACCTTCAAAGACAGATGTATGACTCCTGAATCAAGTAAGAAATTGCTAGAAGAAACCAATTGTGTTGTAACTTATCTTTCCTGCTTCTGTACTTAACCTCTTCTTGCCTGACAATTAACATTACACTTTAATCACACCTCACGTGTTCTCTTCTTTCCAGGTTAAAATGTTCAATGTCCTATGTGTTTTCTTAGTAAGTTCCTTTTAATCACAGGATTCACGTTTTTAAACATTTGATTTTTTTCTTATTCTTTTTTGAATTCTTATTTCTTTATTCTTTTTTCTTATATAAATTCTTATTTCTTAATTCTTTTTTCTAATTCTTTTTTTCTTATTCTTATTCTTTTGGGGGTGCATCTTCCCCTCAGTGTATGTGTAATTTCACCTGCCACCTAAGCTCTAGTGCAGTTCCCACTAGGAGGGTGATGCCCTCTAGCGACCCCCCATTCCCTCCCCCTCTAGTACCACTATATTTTTCTGAGTCTTTTTTAAGAGTTGTTTTTGTTGTGATTTGTTAGTTCCTTTGCTGTGGTTATTTATATGCCACATAAGAAAGAAGCCACCTGATAATTATCTCTGTCTGATTTATTTTGCTTAGCATAATCACCACATTCCACCCATGTCCTCACAAAAGGCAAGATGGGATCTTCTCATACCAGAGTCATTCCACAAAGTCTATGCACCACAACTTCTTTATCCAGGCAACCCTTGATGGGGCAAGCTGGTTGTTTCCATGTCTTTGCTATTGTGAACACTGCTGTGACGATTCTTTATTTTGCTGCTGTATGACACGTGGCACGGAGTCCAACCTACAGCTGGGAAAACAACTGCGTAGCTGGCTCAGTTTGGGGTCATCAAGTCCTATCATTAAGATAAAACTAAACAGAGGAAATCACAGACTGAGGGGCTTTCAACCTTAGATAAACTCAGGGTCTGAATCAATGAATCCTAGAAATCCTTCCCAAACCTCAAGTTTCAAGTATTTGAGTATTTTAAGTATTGGATGCCAGGCCACCTCCAAATGCCAAACTGTGTTTTATTTACTTATTTATGCGGGGGCCTCACGGGAGGGTTAAAGTTCATCTCCTGGATCAAGTCCTCAGTCCTCAGAAAACACCCCAGGGAGGGATGTCTGGGGGAGGCTCACGCGGAGCCCAGGCCGGCCGCGGCCCGGTCACCACCGCCTCCACCTGGTCTTTTTTTCATTTCCCCCTGGGGCTTCTGCCCCTCTTCCGAGGATTGTCCTCCAAGCTCTGGGGGCGCCCCGAGACCGCGCCCTGGCGCTCCCCGCACTAACCGCCTGGTCCCTTCACTCTGCCCAGGTGAGCAGCCTGGAGGGGGCGCGGCACTCACCCGGCGCCCCCGAAGGAAGGTCCGGGGCCCACCTCTCAGCGGAGTTGGGGGATCCCTGCGGGTGTAGACAGACAGGGGTTCGGGCCATGCGCCCACCACAGGTGACCGACCGGGCGGGTCCCGCCCGCCCTCCGGGGCGCAGAGGACGCGGGGACCCTGCGACGCTGACGTCTGCGGGTGCTTAACTTTCCACCCCCCCCCCACCCGGGTAGAGATCCCCGCACGAGGAAGCCGCTTCGGGGCGCGGGCTCCCCGGGAGCGGAGAACCCCGCCAGCGCGCGGCCGCCCCGGCCCGGCCCACGTCACCGCCGGCGCCGGGAAGCACCGTAATGTCTGGAAAAAGCGCGCCCCCAAAACACCCGCGCCCCGCCGCCGCCTCTCGCGGAGACACCTGCCCCGAGCGCTCGCCGGCTCTTCCAGCTGCCTCGCAGGGAAGCGACGGCGGGTCCCTCCGGGGATGTGCCCCGGGGGCGCGGGCGGCTCTGCCTAAAGGTGATCGGAGCGGGACCTCGATAAGGGCAAGCGGTCGCGGCGCCTGTCTGCCGCCCCCGCCCCAGCCATTCCTAAGCCTCCGCAGGACTGGGCCCTGCCCGCAGGCAGCCTCTCCGCGCCGGCCGGCCCGGCCCGGGGGTCCGCCGCGGAGCAGATGCGCTCGGGAGCCGCGAAGACCCGCGCGGCGGGGCGGAGTGCGCGCGGGCTCGGAGGAGTGCGGTAGTGATGGCGGCGCGCAGCGAGCCTTTCCTGTCACTGGGTACTACGGCGCCCGGCCCTCCTCCGAGCCGCCCGGCCGGGCCCCCGGGCTCCCGTCTACAAGTGGCAATTTGACTTGCTCTGCTGCATGTCAGCAGGCGCCGTGCAAAGTGTGGAGACGGCCCGGGGACTGCGCGATCGCGGCTTAAAAAGGAGAAAAGCCAAACAAATAAACAAAACCCGCCCTCCCTAGCCGACATGCGGCTGCTGGAGAGGGCGAGGAAGGAGTGGTTCATGGTCGGCATCGTGCTGGCGATCGCCGGGGCAAAGCTGCAGCCGGCCGTGGGGGTGAACGGGGGTAAGTGCTGCCCCCCCCGGCTCCGCGCGACTCCCGCCTCTGGACCGCTCTGGAGTCCCGGCAACGAGGGGACCCCGCCTGTGGAAAGTGTCTGCCGCTCCCAGGGGGCCCCCCCAGCCCTGGGCTCCCTCGCTGGTCTCTAATCTGACACCCCCAGAGAGGGTTTATAAGCAGGAACTGGGCGAGGGAACTGGAAGCAAGTACCTGTGCCACCGGCCGGCCGTGCGCGTCCTCTGTGGCAAGTTGGGAGGCAACTAGGAGGAAACTTACTCCTCTGCCTGCCGGGGAGCATCCTACCCAGGGGCGCAGGGCGCCAGGAGCCCCTCGTCTGCTTTGGAGGGGGCACCATTATCTTGGGTGGACTTCTGACAAGGCCTCTCCCCCAGCGTTTAAAAAAACATTAATCGGTGAGGGCAGAAACAGAAAAAGGCCCCCCCCACCCCCTGTTCTCCTCCCACTCAGATTTCGGGGCCCACATGTGGGAGAGTCAAGGTTTTGCTGCAGTGGCTGCCACTTCAGAAACTCCCAGGCTGACTGACACGTTGCACTTTTTCATTGCAGGACACCACTTCCGTGTGCCCTGGCCTCAGTTGCCACACTGCAGCCTCACAGACACAGCCTGTGTTGGACTGGGTGTCCTGTGTATTTTGGCGAGGAGATGTAGGCAGGCTACAATCACACCCAGATCTCTGAATAGTGGGAGCCTTGTAGTATGAGGGTAGGCATTGGTGGAAATGGCTGGAAATATCATTAACCATTTATATCTCCCCCTCCCTTTCCACCCTTAGACAACCATGTCCCAGTTTACATGAACATTCGTTGCAGGTCTTCAGTTCATTGTCTTTTTCACCTTGTTGGTCAGTGTCTAGACTTATTGATAGTTTTGATACATCAGTCATTCAACAGGGGCAAATAAGGACAGAAGTGAGTACATACTTTTATGCTAAGAAGTGCCCAGGAGGAGAGTTGAAGCTCTTTGTACCTTTTTTGGTAAAGAATGATGGCAGTGAATGAAATGATCTCTTAGGACAGCCGTGGTTCCTTCTACTCTCTTCTACCCTCCTCCTTTCAGAAGTAGCTGCAGGGAATATTTTATAAAGGGAATTATTTCAACAAAGATAGTGGGAATTAGAAACCTTTTTGTTTATGTATTTTTCTGTCCTATTTTCAACTTAGTGTAAAGTGTGTAGAGTAAGTAACTGTGAAATAAAGCTGTGATGTGTCATGGTTTCTCTTTCTGAAGGTATCAGTGTCTGGCATTGCCTCTTTGTGAAAGCTGGTATGTCACATTCTGTCATCTTAGTGCCATTTCTAGCTAGATAGTAAGAATTAAAGTTGGAGGCTGTCTTCTTGGTGATCTGGCATGTATATATTCACTAGCTTTATTTGCACACTTTATAGTTTCAGATGTTAGATTTTTTTATTTGCTTAGTGTTAAGGTAAAATTACAAGTGATGTATGATCTTTAGGTTTAAATCTGCAGGGGCTAAGTTTGGTCAGGTACTTTTTATCTTACATTCCCAGGATGCTGGGGGTGGGGGGTGGGGCTAGGGTTATTGGAAATCATTTTCCATCTGTGACATGTGTGAGATGAGTTCTGTAATCCTATTTGTTCCCTTAGACTCTGCTTCTTAAAGTCTTGGTATATTATACCATAGAAATGTTTTTTCCCCCACTTGTACTAATACTTATGCCATTGATCTAAGATAATTCATTTCTTTGTACAATTTTAAGAGTAGAATGTGCAGAACTGTAAGAGACCTTTAAAGTATTTTAAACCAACATGCTTCTTGTACAGTTGAGGCTACTGAGACCTGAAGTCAGGTGAGCCATTCTAGGTTAAATTAGCTAATTTATATAAGAGCAAAGGCTGGAGACCAGATACCTCCCACTTCCCCCTTATACTAGTTGCAAAATCCACATAAATTCTCTTGGAAAAAAAACCATTAAAAATGAACAACCATTATTAAGAAAGGCTCTGTGTAATAACATTCCGTGCCCTGAATTTTAGCTCGCAGGAACAGAGCAGAATCAGCTAATCCTAGACAACAGCGTGCTCAGGTGACTGCTTTCAGCGCTGTCCATTTGCAAATATTACTTTTTCTAAAAACAGAAGTTAAACAGTTGTGTGGGATTATTTAGTATAGCCTGGCAGGCTAGTCTTGCCTCTTTAATTGAACTTTTATTTGAATGTCCCACTTGTAAGCCCTCTTAAATAAAAGCAAACCTCCAAAATAATCCCAAATAACATTTAAAAAATTTTTTTAATTTTAATTTTTTAAAAAGATTTATTTATTTATGCATACAAGAGCTGGGGTATAGGCCAGAGGTGCAGGGGGTGAGAGGATTCACCAGAGACAGAGTGGGGAGCAGAACAAGCAGACTGACTGAAACACACTGCTGAGGGGAGCAGCGGGCCACATAGGAGAGGTCTGCCTCGCCATGTGGGTTGCTCGCTGGCCCGCGGGGGATCAAACTCATGCTGCAGAGGCTGTGTATAGCTTCATAGTGCGGTGCTTAACCCCTTGCACCACCAGGGAGGTTGCTAAATAACATTTTCATTCCACTTACTGAGATAACAGAAATCTAGGAACAAGGATAGGAATGGTTGCTGAAAAATCTTTGTCACAGTCTACTCTTTAGAATGGTCTTTTTGCTGTAAATTTTAGTCAAAGATTCTGTTTTAGCCCCAAAGTAGATGGGGTGTGCTGGCTGTGAAGATGCATCTGTGGACAAGACCCTGCTCCTGACTGCAGCCGTGTTGCCAGCTCTAGCTCATCCTGTATAGAAATGCTAGAATCACCGCTGTGGGCAGAGCCACAATCGATTAAAAATAAGGTCTCATCAAAAACAGGTGATTGGAGGAAAAATAAATAATATGAGCTTTAAAAAGCAAGATACTTAAAATTCCTGGGCTATGTCTACTTTCAAAACAAGAGTAGTTTTTTGGCCTTAAAATTTGCTTCTGAATCACCTTCCTCAAGTTGTTGAAGAAATATTGTTTTTAAATGTAAGCTGCCAAGACAGATTCACTCGCAAGTATAAAAATAATGTACCACTTAAAAAAAATTCTGGCCAGCCTTTACTGCCCTGAAACGTAATGCCAGTGGATTTGGCTTCAAGCTTTTGTTCCCTTTTCTCAGCTCTTCACAGAATATTTGGTGTAAATGCCAAGTGTAGTAAAGAATTTACTGTGACCTGTGAGGAGATCACTGCAAGTGTTTAAAGTATGGTAGTTGCTCAATAAATACTGAATGTAGGATTTTTTCCTTAGCTTGAAATTGAGTGGTATTTGTAGGTGCGTTTGAGGGTTGCAAGGAATGGACGAACATAATTGTGGGCCTGTTGTTTTTGTTGAAGGGGGCGTATTCGTTTCCCAGGCCTGCGACAACAAATTACCGCAAACTCATTGGCATGAAAAAAACAGAAATTTATTCTGTCACAGTTCTGGACACTAGATGTCTGAAGTCACGATGTCAGCAGGGCACTGCTTCCATGGAAGCTTCCAGGGGGTTTCTAGTTTTTGGTGGTTACCAGCTCTCCTGGGCATTTCTTGCCTTAACTAACTCTAGTCTTTGGTTCTGTCCTCCCATGGCCAATGCTGCACTGTTTGTAACTTTGTTCAAATTCCATTTTTGTAGAATATCAGTTACTGGATTAGAGTTCATCCTAATCCAATAAAACCCCATGTGAAAAGACCTTATATCCGGAGAAGGTCATTCTCCTAGGTTCTGGGTAGGCATGAACTTGGGCGTATATATGTGTTGGGGGGCGGGGGTGGGAGGGTGAAAGCAGGGAGCTACATTCCTGTATTCAGTCCAGGACTAGAAGGCTGAATAGGATGTCAGCTATGAGATGATCTCAGATTTTAAAATGTTGGTAGATGTCAGGGTTTGTCCACCTGGGCACGGCTGATATTTTGGGCGTGCTAATTCTTTCTGGTAATCCTAGGCCTTTCAGATGTTTAGCAGAATTCCCCACTTCTCTGTCTGTCAGAAGCCAATGATACACTCTTCTCCTCTTCTCCTGAGTGATAACAACCAAAAAAACAAAACAAAACAAAACAAAACTCCAAACGTTGCCAAGTGTCTGGAGAACCACAGGTCTGCCTGGATAAAATGACCTTTTTTTTTCCGAGTCCTGTCTTTTAAAAGAATGTAATTTTCAGGTTCACACATTAATTCTTGAAGTCAATTGTGTGCAAGCCATGAACATAAATAAATATTGGGTTTGCCCTTTTTGTCCTCACAGCGCTGAAATGACTGGGGTGATGAAACCTCACTCCAGACAGGGTCTTCCCGAGGGCAAGAATCAGGCTTGTTTGACTCACCACAGTGCGCTCAGGGCCTGGCACAATTTAATAATAATTACCGTTTTAACAAGATACCGTTAAGAGCTCTGCGACTCTATATGCATTATCTCATTCACACAGTAAGTGCTTCATAAATATTCGTGGAATGGATACTCTGGGGCAGAACCGAATGCATGCATGAATACAAGCTTTCATTTCTGGTTTCCTAGGAGTAAAATCCTATTTGCTAAAGAGAAGGCGACTTCTGGTTTTTTTCCCCTTTGGTTCAGGAAATTTTCATTGTTGTAAAAGCAAAAATCACATCTACTGGGTAGATATAGTTAGGACCTGTGTGGAAAACAGGTAGCCTGTGCTCTTGTGTGACAGTGCAGTTTCCTTCTGTTCTCCTGGTCTAAGGAGACTGTGCTGAGCTGGACAGCCCAGTCCTCGTCCTCTGGAAAATCCTCTCTGGAGTTAGACCACATCAGAGCAAATGCTGGACTATCAGGACAGCGATGGGCTAGGGGCACACTAAGACTTAAAGCGCTGTTCATGCTCCTCCAGTGGACTCTTCCATCACACCAAGTTATCTACTGGAAATTCTTATCTAACGGAAACTCATTTCTCTTTCTAGGGCCGCTGAAACCCGAAATAACTGTCTCCTACATTGCTGTGGCAACGATATTCTTCAACAGTGGACTGTCGTTAAAAACAGAGGTATTGTTACTGAGGGCCACTTGAAAAGCAGGGAGAAAAATGTATTTTGTACTGTTTTGAAATTTCAGAATCCTTTTGCAAAGCTGTGTGTAGCTGTGGTCTGAAGGCTTCACGCAACAGGAGATAACTTGGACCTGTGTTTTGTACCTACTGTGGTAGACACCTCATATTTGAGTGTTATGGACCCTGAGGATATAGTTTTAATAGGGCACTTAAATTGAAGCATCTTCCTAAGGTAACAGCGGTAGCGTCAGTGGTACCCAGGGTGACACACGAGACCAACTGATGTTTAGTTGGGGGTTGCATAACTTTTGTGGGTCATTTTTTTCTTCTCAGGCCAGAAGTTGTTCAAATGATGCTTTTTCTGTTATAACTTCTAACTCAGTTGAATCTTTCAAGAGAGTTTACTCTTTGCTAGCATATCTGTTATTTTAGCTCTTTTAAGAGAAATATTGGTATTTTTCATATTAAGTCACAGTCTATCTTGAGAACATAGAAGTAATGTTATTTATCGATCCAAGTGCACTGAACATGGGATTCTTTTAAAATGGAAGAAATCCAGACATATTTTATATACAAGAGAGGAAGGAATGAGTGGAATAATACCGATTTGCTGTTGAAGAAATTACATAGAGCTTGCCATTCTAAGATGCTTATTCTTATGTAGACAGAGAAATTTCAGTATGTGTAGGAAGGATTTTTTTTTTGGTGGGGGGGAAGCTTAAAATTTTGTTTCAGCATTATGCATTCCCTTTATTTAAGTTTAGTTTTTTAAATATGAAGTATGATTTGAATGAAGACCAAATTTAGTTACCTCCTTTTATAATCCTAGGATTAAAAAAAAGGGTTTTACTAAAATTGTACATTCTGTGGTTAGCTTTTCATTCGGGCATTTTTGATGTAGATTGGATCCCAGTGTATTGTTTATGACTGATAAATTGTATTTCGAGAATGCTAAACAGTCTCACTGATTACCTGCTCTGTAGGTAACTGATAGGGGACAGGATTTCCTAAATATGTCAAGTTCCCATTTTTATATGTTATATTGATAGGAAAGGGCTAAGATGAGTGCTTACAGGACACAGACATTTCTGTCAACACCTGAGTTCTACAATTGGCCTTTGAATGTGGGGCCTGGTGATGCAGAAAGACATTTGCCACTGACATGGTGCTGATCTTCCTTGGAGGTCTTCCTGCTGACCTTGGCTGATAATCTTTGCGGAGCCTTCCCCATGTCTTCTGTTTGAGATGTTGCTCTAACTACATGTCCCCTGGTGGCAGCCCAATGGCTATAGCTGTTACTTATGCCCTAGGAAATCTGGCAAGATTTGATCTTCCCCTCCTTAGCTTCCTGCTTAATGCTATTCTGTAAAGGAGCCAACTTTGTGGGATGCAGGAACTAAAGAAGGAAGAATGTCATACATTTTCCCTGGGGATCAAATTCTTCTGTCAGCACCAAGGAGACCTTCAGAGCCATCCAACTAATTTGGATCTAATGATGAGATGCCTTGATCCTGTGCTCTATCTCTGTATCTAAGGAGCGATCAAAGCCATTTCCTCCATCAAAGGCCTTTTTCAAACTAACAGACATTAAGACATTTTCAAGATTCATTTAACTTAAGAGGCCCTAGATTACATCATTGCGTAATGTCAAACCATATCTAAATTCTGCTAATTTCCTGGGCAACCAAATAATTTTTCAGTTAGGTGGTAGCGGTTTATTGTTCTTTGTTTTGTAGTTAATAATCTTAAATACAGTGGGGGACTACTACTTTTATATCCTGTAGGTCCTAGAATAGTGCATTTTTTGCACATATGAAACAGGACGTTACTATTGACTTAAGGGTCTTTGAAAACAAAATAAAGTTTATACTGGTCCCATTAAATTTGATTTATACTGAACGTTTCATGTAGTATAATTTACATACTGACATAGTGATGTGTATTCTAAGATTTTTTTTCTAATTTATTAAAATGATAAAAAATCATGTTAATACTTCATGTCAAAAAGATTTCATGCTAGATCTTTAGTTTTATGACTAGTGATTGCTAGTTTTTAAAGTATCTATTGAACTGATTTCCAAAATAACATCATATTTGAAATGTATCTTTATATTTATTTAATGCAAACCTACGGTTTCAGAGTTTTGTCCCTTTAGCTGGCTGAGGCAGACCAGTCTCATCAACAAGTACCTGTCAAGTCCTGGCTACAGGTACTGACTGTGCTTGGCACTGGGATAGAAAAAAGATGAGCAGGATCGTGTGGTCTGGAATAGGCTCCTGATTAGGGAACTTTACACAGGCTTGTCTTTATTTTTCTAAACAGATTTTTTTTAAAGTTCCATTAGTTTGCAAGTAAAATAGCAAATTCTAAATTTTGGGTTTACTGCTTGTTTTCAGCCCAGAGCTATGAGACTGACTTTCAGAAAGTGAATCAAATAAAGGTCAAATAAGGGTTAGACGGGAAATTGATGTGTAATGAAAATACTTCTGCATCCCAGTCAGAGCGCCTGCTTTTAAGCAATTCTTGATGCTGTCGGTGAGAATCTGGTGTAATCAGTCTGCCGAGTGTCTCCTTAAGCTTATTTTAATGGAATTTGACCTGTATTACATGTGAATAAACAAAATGTCATGCAGAACCAACTCTTCAGTTATTCATGATGGCATTTATTTGAGAACTTGGGCCCTGACTTCTATATGGATATATCTGGAACAATTCTATTTGGGATTTTATCATGTTTCCTTGCTTTTTCTTTCTTAGAATTAACTTATTTTTTCTTTATGGTTGTATGAATAAGATAGGGAAAGTGCATAGCACTCGATTTTTGTGATTGTCTTGAAAATCTTTCTTAGGGACATTTCATGCCTGTTATTTCCTGCTGTTACACGAGGACTCATAACGCAAGATGATAGGCCGTTGCGATTCATTCTTGCTGCCTTCTTTACTGTTCTGTTGTTCTGACACAATGCCATTTGCTTTCCATTGTCATATGTCTGCTTGATTACTATTTTTAAAATGCATTTTATGTCTTTGCAAGTTTTCTGATTATGGAAGTGCTAGTTATTGATTATAGAAAGATTGGAAAGAAGAAAAAATAGCTACTATTAAAATGTTTTTTTCTAAGATTTATTTATTTATGCATACAAGAATTGGGGTACAGGCCAGAGGTGCGGGGGGTGAGAGTATCCACCAGAGACAGAGTGGGGAACAGAGCAGGCAGACTGACTGAAATACACTGCTGAGGGGAGCAGCAGGCAAGTCAGGAGAGGTCTGCTGTGCCATGTGGGTATCTCCCTGGCCAGGGATCAAACTTGTGCAGCAGTGGCTGTGGATAGCTTCGTAGGTTGCCTTTTAACCCCTGCGCCACCAGAGAGGCCCCTAAAATCTGTTTTGTAGGATTTTTTTCTAAACATGTTTTATGTATAGAATATTTAAAAAATAAAATGTGTGTGTGTAAATATGTGTATATAGATACACAATCCATAGGCACATACGTAGTCACATATAATCTTATTTTTTCATGTGACATTGTAGATAAAACTTTTTCATGTAATTTAATATTATAATTTAATTTTTCCTTCTGTATGTATGTGATTTACATCTTGTTTAATTTAATGAACATAAGTGAAAAGATACAAAAGTATATGTGATGTGAAGCCTTCCTTTCCTCCATCCCCACCAGATATCTAGTGTCCTTTGGAGATAATCAATGTTAACAGTTTCTCTAGATTTTTCTGGAGATATTCTATACAAAACATACATCTGTGTATTCCCCCTTTAACTGAAGTATTTTATACTGTTTGCCACATTACCTTATTTACTCAAAAAACATATCTTGGAGGTTGTTTCATAGCAAACACAAAGGGCTGCCAATTTCTTGATGTTCAGCGCTCCCTGAGACAAGGTTCTTTTTTTTTTTTTTTTAAGAGGCATGTTTTTATTTATTTATTTGTTTGTTTGTTTATACAAGCACTGGGTACAGTCAGAAGCCCAGGAGGGTGAGAGAATTCACCAGAGCCAGAGCGGGAGGCAGAGCAGGCAGAAGGACTGAAGTACACTGCTGAGGGGAGCAGCAGGCAGCAGGAGAGGTCTGCACGCCATGTGGGACCCTCCTCCGGTGGCCAGGGAGCAGCTGGGGATCGAACTGGCGCCACAGAGGCCGCAGGCAGCTTCGCAACCCAGCGCTCAACCGCTGCGCCACCTGGGAGGCCCCTATTTCTTTTTGTATGCTAAAAGGATGCCATTTTATGATTGTGTCGTGATATAATTTACTAGTCCCCTAGTGGTGGACATTTAGATCATTGGCAAGGTTTTGCATTTACAAAATACTGCAACGGGTAACCTCAGAATAGGCCATTTCCCATGTTGGGAGTGTGTGTGAAGGATTCATCCCTGAAAGTGAAATTGCTAAGTCAAATGAGATGTACCATTTAAGCTGTGACAGGTCTGCCAAGTCTGTGCAATGGTGCTAGGTGTGTAGGAATTCGTTGCTGAGAGAAGGGATGAGTTGCCAGATTTTCTCCATAGGTCGGGTGACAATATCCCTCTACTGGTGAAGTAGGGGAGGACCCCATGTTTCCATGTCCTGTCAATACATTTTTAACATGATTTATAATAAGTCATTACCTGCTGGTTACACCTTAAGTTATTTAATTATTCTCCCATTTTTGGACATGTAAGTTGTTTCTAGATTTTAATATTAGCGATGATGCCGTGATGCTCAAGTCTTGTAGGTAAAAGATTTAGTGATGAAATAAGTCCAAATGAATGTTGACTAGACTTATTGTGATGATCATTTGTAATGTATACAAATATGGACTCATTATGTTTTATACCAGAAACAATTAAAATGTCACATGTTAATTATGTGTCAATTTAAAAATAGCCTGATTCATGTAATGTTGTTTCTGTACTAGTTTCTCTTCATAAATGGTTTTCTTACACTGTTACTTTGTGTCCTTCATTTTTACAGGAGCTGACCAGTGCATTGGTGCATATAAAACTGCATCTGTTTATTCAGATCTTTACACTGGCATTCTTCCCAGCAGCAATATGGCTTTTTCTCCAGCTTTTATCAATCACACCTATCAATGAATGGCTTTTAAAAGGGTATGTTCAAACAGTTTGAAGGCTCCACTTTTTTTTTTTTTATAGATTTATTTGTTTATTTATACAAGCACTGGGTACAGTCAGAAGTGCAGGAGGGTGAGAGAGTTCACCAGAGCCAGAGCTGGGAACAGAACAGGCAGACTGACAAAATATACTGCTAAGGGGAGCAGCGGGAGTAGCAGGAGAGGTCTGTTGTGCCATATGGGACCTTTGCCAGTGGTGGGGGATTGAACCGGCGCTGCAGAGGTTGTGGGCAGCTTTGCAGCCCCGCGCTCAACCACTGCGCCACCAGGGGAGGCCCTGAAGGCTCCAATTTTTAATGGGGACTCTCTAGTAACATTGTTTCTGTGGCAACTATATACAAAGGGGCTTAGGTGTGATCTCTTATAAGAAGAAATAAAAACATTTTTAATTTTATTAGTCTTTAAAATGATTGTGTTTCATCAAGGAGGTTTGTTAAGGAATTTTATGACAGAAACTTAAAGCACCTCATGCCTAATTTTAAGGTTCTAGGAGAGACATTTTTCTGGGAATTTTAAAGAGATGTGATGGGAGAAGCATGGAAGGACTGGAGACTGTAGAGCCAGCACACACATGCATCATGAAGACTGTGAACTAGGAATTTTAATTTTTGCATTTTTGCAAAAATTTTTAATTTTTGTATTACTAAGTATATATAGTAGCTCCTGAGTGTAACATGTGCCTTTAGAATAGACACGAAAGAAGAGATTTATGGGGAACAAGCATTTCCCTTTTCACTTATTCTGTTTTATGTTTTGTAGGAGGGCTGAATTAATGATCAATTTTTATTAGGTTCTTTTCTTCCATTATATATATTGCTATGATTATTAAAAGGCTTTAATGATCTTTAAAGCTTATTCAAAGTGGTTTAAACTAGCCATATTCCAGCATCATAGCATAATAGCTAAAATTCTGAGCCAGGAGTCCAAAGGTGGCTGGCTCTCTGACTTGGCCATCATGACCACACTTGCTGTAACCTGATTTTAATTATGTAGGAGTTTAAATAACTGAAAAAATAAAACCACTGGAGCCTGGAGATCATAATGAAAACTTAGAATCCAGGCATCTGCAGCCTCTGTCTGAGCCAGGCTGCCTCTATAGTGTTGTTTAAGGCAACAGAGCACAGGCATCAGCTGTGTTTTACTTGCTCAGCGCAACTTAGGCTGAATGTAGTGAAGACTATGTGTGACTGAAAAAACCCACTTATAATTGCATTTTCTTTTATTTTGCAGTTTGCAGACAGTAGGCTGCATGCCTCCTCCTGTGTCTTCTGCAGTGATTCTAACCAAGGCAGTTGGTGGAAATGAGGTCAGTTATGGGGCTCACTGCATTTAAATATAAGTGGTGCTAAGGTTTTATTTATATATTATTTTATATATTAATATCATATTTATAATATAATACATATATTATAAGGTTATATAATATATTCAGATAATATATATTATTTAGTAATGTAATATAATATATAATATTACATATTAATATTATATCTATTACTTTATGAAGAAGTCATGTTACAGAAAATGCATAACCCATAGCAGCTTATTAAAGAAGGGGATGTGTTCACATATCACATATTTTTGTGTTCACATAAAATTGGTAATGTTGTGTGGAATTTAGAATTTCAAAGAGGAGAGCAAGGGAAATGAGTGCAACAGAGATGGTGAGTTTTCTACTTCAGTGGGAAGTTGGGAAATAGAGGACAAGGAACCCAACAGACTTTTTCATCTAAGTTATATGCTGTGATCATTCTTCAGGACTTAAAAAATTTGTAATAAACTAAATTCATGGGAAAAGAATTATAATTGTCATGGCAAGTGAAGATGATATAAAAAGGAGAAATGAGTCCTGATTTCTAGTTGTAAGTTCAAGAGCCAGCTGCTGTAAGGACTTGTGGCAAAAGAAGAGCATTTGTATGTTGAAATAAAAAAATTGGCCATTTCAGAAGCTACTTATAGGTGGTTCTTCTTGGTTGTGCGGCCCTGCCATTTTATACTGAGGGACTTTGCTTTGTAATATCTTGTTCATCCTTTTCTACTTATATTCTTATTATTTTGTATTCTTAGTCCGCTTTCTTACATTCAGAAAAGAATACTGTTGAATGAGGAGGTTGAGTGTGATTAGTTGTATCAAATTCTGCTGATGTGAGTTGTCTAAGTGAATTCTGAAACTTGACCATTGAATTAAGCTACATGGAAGTCATTGGCAACCTTGACCAGTCATTTTTTTTTTTTTTTTTGATGAAATGTACGGGCAAAAGCTTGTTGGCAACGGGATCAAGAAAAAATGGGAAGAGAGAAAGTAGAAATAGGAAGCATAGCTCATTGATTTGAGATCGTTATTGATAAAAAGGAAAAGAGAAATGGGTCTGTGTTGGGGGATAAATTAAGATTTTTTAAATGTAGAAATGATAGCGTGTTTCCATCATGATGGATCTGTATAGTAGGGAGGTAGCTGTTGAGATAAGGGAATGCTGGGATGCTTTATTCCTCAAGCAGGAGAGAATGAAATTGGGTTATGTGGGCTTCTGTGGGAACTTGGGCCTTTTATTTATCATTATAGCTGGAAAGGCAGAGTGTGTGGATACTGAATCGTGCAAAGGGATGTCCTTCAGAATCTTCTTCTGATCCCTTTTTTTATTTTCTTAATAACTGAGAGTGATGATGGGGTAGGCGGTATTAATCTTGAATGAGAGGAAAAAACACAATTGCCCTCTACATTTAGCCTCATGGCGTAGCAGTGGAATTGACAGATTGTTGGATTTAACCAGCATTACATTATGCCAGATAGTTGCCACAAAATTAGTGAGATAGAGTCTTGGACTAGTGCCTACCTTGATTATCTCCCTAATGCCTTGAAACAATTTGAGAAGTCTCTTTTGGTATATTTGAGAACACTGTTAATTGGCTAAAAAGTGTCATTTCTTTCTTTGTTTCTAATCTGATTCCCTAAAAGCTTCTAAGGCTCAAAATCCTGTTTGTTCACAAATGAATTTTGGCATAAGTTCAAAGTTCACCCATTTTCTTGATATTAACATATAGTATTAGATTCTTGTGAAGCGTATTTACATGTTCATTCCCCAGTAGACATTTAAATTTTTTTACATTAATGTTGCCTATTAAGAATGTTGAATTTATGAATATCTCCTTTGTTTTGTTAAGTCATCAGTCTGGTTCTTTAAATGTTTATGTTGTACAACATAACCATTATCAGGCATTTCTGTAGTGCTGGGTGGTAAGATATTAGCTGTTCTCAAATATTGAAAATTGAGCTGTAGATTCAAAGCTAGCAAAGTCCAGTTAGTAAGTTCTTCTGATGTAGAATGAATAGACTATTTTTATTTATGCTAGATACTGAAAGAAAATGATCTGCAAGTAAAGATATTAGATAATTTTAAGTTCAGTGTTTTTCTAAAATAATGTCACAAGGTAATGAATTTGTTGAAGTAAATGTAAGGGGAGATTAGTCTCTTGTGTGATATATTAGGAAAAAACCTTAAAGATGGGAAGTGAGTTTATTGGTGCACATAAATAAGAAGGTCCAAAAGTCAAGGCCACTTCCAGATGCCATTTGGTGAAGGTTTTGATGCTACGCTGTGATTCTCTGCTCTGTCTTGCACATAGTGGCTTGGTGCTGTCATGTAGGAAGATTACGGGGGCACAGTCCCATCCTCCCCTGTTCTTTCAAAGTCTTCTTTGCAGTGTTTATGACATATAGAACCTTTTTCCCTTGCAAATTTCATGTTACTATGCTTCTTTACATTTATCTTATGCTCTCGTATGTTTATATATACAATGTTAATATGTATTCATTTGTTTAGTATATGCTCTTCTGCATTCAAAAGGATATGTGATTATGTAGCATGTTTCTATTTAGTGGTTTGGGGGATGTATCAGATAGAAGAGTGTCATTCAAAAGGTTTCTTTCATTTTTATTTATTTATTTTTTTAAAGATTTATTTATTTATTTATACAAGAACCAGGGTCAGGCCAGATGCATGGGAGGGTGAGAGGATTCACCAGAGACAGAGCGGGGAACAGAACAGGCAGACTGACGAAACACACTGCTGAGGGGAGCAGCGGGCGAAACAGGAAAGGTCTGCCGCAGCATGTGGGACCCTTGCTGGCCAGCCGGGATCCAACTGGTCTTGCAGAGTCTGTGGACAGCTTCACAGCGCTGCACTCAACTGCCTGTGCCACCAGGGGAGGCCTGGTTTCTTTTATTTTTATTTTGCAAAGTTGTATAATTTAGGAGGAATTTTTTTCCATTAATTTATACACCTATCATTTTAAATGCATTTTTGGATAAAACTGTTGTTTAGCAGAAGATTTTGTCATGGATTGAAAGAGTTGAATGCCTTTAAATTCACAGCTTGTACTTTGGTGAGAAGTAACCTCGTTATGTTTTGTTCAAGTTAAAAAATGTTTTCTGGTTGTATGAATTCAGTGGTTTTGTGTCAGTGAGTCAACTAGAATTGATAATATTTTTATAGCAGAAGGAATTGCGTGTATTATATAATGATGTGGGATTATCCTTTAGGTGTTTAAAATGAGATTTTTTTTTTTTTAAAAGATTTATTTATTTATTTATACAAGCACTGGGTACAGTCAGAAGCGCGGGAGGGTGAGAGAATTCACCAGAGCCAGAGCGGGGAGCAGAGCAGGCAGACTGACGAAGTACACTGCTGAGGGGAGCAGCAGGCTGCAGGAGAGGTCTGCGCGCCATGTGGGACGCTCGCCCGGTGGCCGGGGATTGAACTGGCGCTGCATAGTCTGTGGGCAGCTTCGCAACCCAGCGCTCAACCACTGCGCCACTGGGGAGGCCCTAAAATGAGATTATTTAAAGTTATAGCTGATTGACAGTCTTGTTTTGTAGCTTTAATATTTTAAACCTTTTTCATTTAAATACCAAAAACATGGTTAGGCTCTTTATGTAATTGCTATTTATGCATTCCAGTGTTTTAAATGCAACTTTTCAAAACTACAAGACTATAGAGGTGCTGTCGGTATGGTCTGATTGGTGGTGCTAGATTATGGGTGTGTGTGTTCCTTTTTAAAATGATAGAAAAGGCAATACGACTTGGTAAACCCTAATTTCATTGCTAATAACAAAAAGGTAGGTCAAAATGTTTTCTATTTTATTCTAACATGGGAGACAGAATAAACACTAATTCCTTGCTTAAAACTGTATACACTCATTTGGTTTAAATTTCTGTTCCATATGTTAAGTCCTATGGTGAAAAAAAATTACTGTTTTTCCCAAAACCTTCCAAAGGTTTTAAAACTGACAGGATTTGTGTGAAGAATTACTGTGTTTAAATTCAAGTAACATCTGCCCTACCAGAGGGATTCCTTTCATAAACGTTTCTTTTCTTCTTCTTTTTTTTAATGAGTGCTTTTTTTTTTTTAAACATTTATTTATTTTTGTACAAGAACTAGGGTATAGGCCAGAGGCACGGGAGGGTGAGAGAATTCACCAGAGACAGAGCAGGGAGCAAACAGGCAGATGACTGAAATACACTGCTGCCGGGAGCAGTGGGTGAGACAGGAGAGGTCTGTGCGCCATGTGGGACCCTCGCCAGTGGCCGGGGATCGATCCCGCGCTGCAGAGGCTGCGGGCAGCCTTGCAGCCCAGTGCTCAACCATGGTGCCACCAGGGGAGGCCCCAAAACATGATTATTTCAGCCATGAAAATAAGCAACCCTCACCACTAGCAGCAGAGCACTGGCTGCAGGCATGTATGTTTGCTTGTTAGTTGTTGTGTTTCTCAAAGTGAAATCCAGAGATGAACTGCAATTGCATGACCTGGGCTGATGAGGGGGAAAACGTTTTCTATTTTTACTCTACACCTGTTGGATTAGACTATGTGGTGGATGGGCCTCTGGAGTCTCCTTTTTAAAATGATGAAATCCACCCTATCTACAAAAGGTGTGTAAAGTGCATGTATGTATCTGTGTGTGTGCGTTTCAAGAGGAATAATCAGCACTGCTGCGTGTACCCTTCAGCTTGAGAAACAAACGTGCTGTCAGTCCGTAATTAAGCACCCGCTTTACGCGGACACTGTTTTCTACTATGAGGAACAAAAAAAAAAAGAAAAAGAAATCTGGTGCTTGCCTTGGAGAAGCTGGAGTTCAGTGTGGACATTCCACCGTTCAAAACCTCTATGTCATAAATCTTACAACCCAGGCAAAATAGAGTGAAATGACTTTATATTGGCTCCAATCCTCAAATTATTGGTGGAGGAAAAAACAAAAGGCACCCCAAGTGAGTTGAGCCCCACTCAGCTTCAGTGTGGGGGATCGGGAC